TACAAAGGACTGATGCAGGTGATTGATTTATATACATGCAGAAACATCACACGTAGATCTTAATGCAATTCATTTGTGCCTTCCACTCTAATATTAATCTCATGTAAAGTTTTATTTTGTAAAATTTCCTTTCACTGTTAGGTCATTTTCCTAGTCAACACAGTCAGTAGGAAAAGTCTACAGATCAAAGGAATAGTCTACACTCAAAAGAAGTGCTCTTACAAAGGTGACCAACACTGTTTCTAACAAAACATTTTTCTATTTTCTTCCCTTATTCTACTGTTAAGACCACAATCCCCCTCATCACAACCATTTGCTTCCAAACAGGTGCCACAAATTACAATCTCTAATAAAGCCAAGAAGGTGCTTTAACTGTATAAAGAAGAATTCTTTACTTTGAGCACACTTTTTTCCTAATAAACTAATTTTAAAAGTTTTGGAGGATGCTGATAATTTCTGGTGAAACAGTGCTATTTAATCAAAAGTTACCTACAGAACGAGGGCAATGTGACTTTATAATTTATATTGCTATTTCTCTGTTCTTTGAAGGGTGGAGGGCAGGGACAGGGCAAACGCTAAAACTTCCAGCCAGTCTGGATACTGGATGTTTGATCATGGAAACCAAGTCTAAATCTCTTTAAGCCCAACAAAAATATCAAAATGAGCCAAAATAACACGCATCTGTATTCGTAAAATCTGTTACAGATGTGTCTTAAAGGTTTTTTTGGCTGCTTTTTTAACCATGCAAGAACATCTAACTCCAATCTAATAGTAGGTGGACATCTAGTGGTGCAATGTAGCTGATTTCTTTTATCAAATAGTTTTATGTATTCAAAGCTCTATCAATACTAATGATCCCCAGCAGTGCTTTCTAGCATACTAATAATTATAATATCATATGCTCACATAAAGAAATTGTGTTCAATTAGGTTTTACTTGGCTTCTTAATTTCATAAGGGTACCAGTAAGTAAAAATAGAGAGTTTAGGTTCTGATTCTGAAGCTTCCAATCAAGAAAAAATTTCCTTTTAAAGTGGAAAGAGTTTGGTGGAACAGGTAAGGCTTCAGCCCTTACAATACAGTACTCAGGCCTATGTTCCAGTAATTTGGTGGTTACTCACAATAAAAATAAGTCAACAGATAATCTACTTAGGATGACAATTTATACATACGAGAAATATAAACAAACTCCAACCAGTCCAATAAAAGCAAGCCCAAAAATAAAGATAAAACGAGTTGCTGCTACATAGCTGATGAAAATTATTGCCAAATCCATTTAACTATTGATTACACAGGTTCAACACCTTACTGTTGAAACAGGTATTCATCATTAAACAGTGTTCTGAACAAACAAAAAAACAAAAACAAAAAAAAGCAGGTAGCTGTCTGTCTAGGTCTTCCCTTCTCCAGGCTGAACAGTTCTAGGTGTCTCAGCCTCTCCTTGTACAGGAGACACCCCGGCCCTCAGTCATCTCCATGGGCCTCCACTGGACCCTCTCTAAAAGTTCTGTCTTTCTTCAACTGAGGAGCCCAGAACTGGACACAGTACACCAGATATGGCCTCACCAGGGCAGATTAGAAAGGTTTCTAATGCACCCTAGGATACCATGGGCCTTTTTGGCCTTTCAAGCACACTGAAGATCTTGAAGATTCTGAAAGCACCTTGTATAGTCTCTCCTCTCTCTCAAAACAGAAATTAGAAGGCAGTTCAGTACAAGGACACTTGAAAGTTCCCACACAGAGCCTTTCTTAAAAAAATAAAAGACGGAGAAAAATCATCAGCAAGACATATGGGATGCTGTTTCTCACAGTGGTAATAGGGGGTAGGTCTGTAGGGAACTTGGACATAGCATATCCAACTTCTGTTTTTAAACAAAGTGGTAAAATAAACCCCCCAAAATTATCTGGAAATGACAAGAAATAAGATGCTGAAGTACGCAACTGATATGAAAATATTCTGATTTGTCAAAGCCCACTACAGAAAGATGTACAAGGATTTCACATCACTGTGCATGTGAAATTCAATGTGTGTGAAACATCAGGAAGCCACACCACACTAAATACACAATGGCAGAATCAGGAAAGATGAGTCATTTGGAGAGTTCTTCAAGTTTCAGTCAATGCTCAGCAGTTGTTAAAAAAGGCAAGTACAGGATTTGCTGTGATTATGGAAGAAACAGAGAATAGTACAGAAAACAGCACTATATCAGGATACAAAAATCAGAGCTGCATTTACTACTTCAATATTGCACACCACTCTGCTCACACCATCTCAAGGAAAACATGGGAGAAATACAAAATCAAGTCCACAAAGATAAGTCAAAGATATTAAGAGAATTCTGTTCAAGCAGAGATTAAATGTATGTAGAAATATCAAAGAATACCAAGTTGGGTAACAGCCATCACCAACATGCAAATGTCTGTCCCTTCAGTGTATGCATGGAAGAAGAGGAAGAGGCAGAGAGACAAGAATTTAAATCAGGAGGTCAGAAGAAGAGCTGGGGGACAGCAAATCATAGCATTATGAAGATGAAAGAAAATAGGGATGAAAGCATCTCATGCAGCAAGGACAAATGAGAATTATCTGATTCTGTCTAACTAGCAGCAAAGGAGGATGAAAGAAAAAGTGACATCTTAATTCCTTCATGTGATGTTGCCTCTGCAAAAGGACAAGAGCCAGAGGGAATAAGATCAAGAAAATACATACAGGTATGATCTTCTCAGTGCACATAAATGGGGTAGGGGGGGGAGGGGGAAAAGACAGTAAGCAGAGATAAAGCATCAAAAAGGATACAGCAAGAAAGGTGCCAGGAGGCCTACAAAGGTGTTAGAGCAGCAATTGTAACAACAGGGAAATGGAATAAATGGCAGTTGTAGACACTATACTGCAGAAATGCAGTTTTGAGAAGAACTAGCAAGTTTAAATGCATACGAACTCAATGAAACACAGTGTTCCCCACTACTTGCACAGTAAACCTTGTTGAGTAACTGAACGCCTGAAGTAAAGGAGAGCAGTAAGCATCACTGGCAATTATCAGGCTTTCCTTCTTCAGAGGGTTGAACTTTGTGCAGTTGATGATTGCCCAGTACTTCAGTGTATCTAGATCCCTCTGCACAGCTCCTCATCCTTTCAGGGTGCCAGCAGCACCTCCCAGTTTAGTATGATTGGCAAATTTGCTGAGGATGCAAACCCACTCCTACATCCAGATCACTGATAAAAGTATCGAACAGGACTGGCCCTAGAACTGAGCCCTGGAGAACACTGCTTGTAATGCCACCAACTAGATGTAGCCCCACCTGCTCCAATCCTTTGAGCTCTACCATTAAGCTAGTATATCCACAATATGAAAGTGTTCGTCTCAGAGTTTCTATACATTTTGTTCAGAAATATTCTGTGAGGGATAATATCAAAGATCTCACCACTATTCAAAAAGATTACATCTGTCTACCCTCTAAGTGGGTGACTTTATCATAGAAGGTGATGAAAGCAGGGTTTTCCCTTCATGATCTCGTGTTGACTACATCTGACCACAGCTTTGTTCTTTTACTACCTTCTGCTACTCTCCAGGATAATTTTCACCACAATGTTTCGAGGGCTGTAGCTTAGACTTGCAGGTCTATAGCCCCACATGCCTTCTCTTATGCCCTTTTTGTAGATGAGTATAACACAGGCCAGCTTCCAGTCAGTGGGAATCTGCCAGACTGCCATTTTTGTGATTCTGACAAATTGTTGAGAAGGACTCAGTCATAACATCCACAGACTCCCTCAGTTCTCTGAGGTAAATCCCATCAGGCCCCATGGACTTGCATATGGTCAACTGATACAACAGTGACTGCTGCAAGAAAGGCACTAAGGCCTGGGAGTGTATCCAGAAAATGGTAATGAAGCTGTGAGGGGTCTGGAGCACAAGTCTGAGATTGTTCAGACTGAAGAAGAAGGAGCTCAGGGGAGACCTGATCACTCTCTACAGCTGCCTGAAAGGATGCTGTGGTGAGGTGCGGGTTGGCTTCTTCTCCCAGATAACAACAAAGGAATAGCCTCAAGTGCTCCAGGGAAGGTTCAGGTTGGAAATTTATTCTCAGGAAGAGAGTGAGGTGGTGGCATAGGCTGCCCAGGGAGGGGGTGCAGTCATTGCCCCTGGAGATATCCAAGAACCACACAGATGTGGCACTGAGGGATGTGATCAGTGGGCATGGTGGGGTGAGAGCTAGGACTAGGTGATCTTAGAGAACATACAATTAATAAATATACAGAGTGGTGTGATTAGACTGGTATTTACAAATTGTATAATTAGAAAGATTATCATAGCAGGAAGAAATAACCAAAAATAAATGAAAAATGCTCACCTCTGTCCCAGGCTCATAGGAAAACTCCAAAGGGAGCAACCTCTAGGGCAGTCAGCCCTTAAATGGGTCTAGGAGAGGTGCAGCCAGGCTCCAGCCCTTCCATCACACAGCTGAATCGCCTTCACCTGTGCTCCATGGCTGACTCAGTGCTCACCTCAGGTGATCAATCAGTGCTTCAGGCCCTGACTCAACAGATCCCACACAGAGGGCTTTTCCAACCTTAATCATTCTGTGATTCTGTGGCGAAAAGTCACCGCTACTTTGAGAGCTTCTCTTAAATAAAAACAAGACAAACAAAACCACGCCACTGCCTTAAAAGTAACAACGCTTTCGAGGCACAGCTCTCCTCAGCGCAGTCTGACGGCCCAACCAATCACCAGCGGAGCACTCCCCGCCCTGCGCGCGCCCCCTGCCGCCATAGGCAGTGCAGTCCAGTGCAATCCAGTCCAGTCCCGCCTCCTCACAGCCCTAAACTCAGCCCCTCCAAGCACGCGGGGTGCCCTTCCTCTATAAAGCAAAGTGAGCGCGCTCCCCCCCCTCGTCGCGCATGCGCAGCCCGCCCCCATGGCTGCGGGTGGGGTGCCGGTGGGCGGGGCCCTCGAGGATGGGGTGGAGTCGGGCGGGACCGGGACGGCAGGCGGGCTGGTGGCGCGCTGCTGGTGACGGGGGGTGGCAGGAGGGGATCCGTCATGGATGCCAGCGCGCTGGAGTTGGATGCGGTGAAGTTCGCGCAGTTGGCGGTGCAGCGGGACCAGAACGGGCGCTACCAGGAGGCCGTCTTCTATTACAAGGTGTGCAGCGGGGGAAGGCCCGGGGGCGGGCGTATACGGCGGGGAAGGCGGAAGGCCGCGCGGAAAGTTTGTCCGTCCCCGGAGAGAGCGGCGTAGCCCGGCGCTGTGAGGGTGGAGCCGGGCTGTGTGGCCGTCGTTGGCGTTCGTCGGCGTTTGCTGAGTGTTTCTGCGGAGCAGGCGGTGGCCGTGAGTGCAGCGAGGCGCTGGGCGGCGCGTCTCATGGCGGTGGCGGCGGGTCGGCTGTGCCGGTGCAGGTTGGTGTGAGGGCAGCGTGCGGGCTGCTGTTCACGACCGGCGAAAATGAGCGGCTGACAGCGCTGAACAACTGTGTTTTGTAGCTGAGAATTCGTTCTGTCGAGCAGCGCTGTTGTGCTCTTCGTATCAGTTGTCATTTTCATGGAGATAAATAGGAGGCATTGCTTTTGGAGTGACCTGTGTAAAAAGACCATACTTTTCTTGGGATTATGTGTGAGGGAATAGAATCATAGAACGGCTTGAATTGAAAGGGACCCCAAAGATGATGCATTTCCAACCCCCTGCCCTGGGCAGGGCTGCCTCCCACAGATCGGCTGTCCAGGGCCCATCCAATCTGGCCTTGAGCACCTCCAGGGATGGGGCACCACAGCTTCTCTGGGCAGCTGTGCCAGGGCCTCGCTGCCCTCTCTGTGGAAAAATCTCCTCCTGACATGTAATCCAAATTTCCCCTCCTTTGGGAGAGATTCCTACATAGGAAGAGGAATGCCTGCATTTAGCCTACACTGGTAGCTTAGAGCTAAGTTTACTATGGGAAGTGTGGGTATGTACAAAAGTTATAATAATTGGTAATGATGTTGATAAGCTCTGTGCCTCTCTGCAGCATGTGCATGGTATCTGTTGGCTGTGCACACACTGCTTTGTGACAGCACATTTCTGACACATCTGCAAGAACTTGTCAGCTGCTCCTCAGGAGAAAACTTTTTTTTTTTTGGTGCAAATAATCACTCTTCTGCTTTTCCATACAGCACACAGAAAATTCCTTTCTTGTGCTGCATTTAGGTGATACTTCTAATAGCAGAAAGGCACCCCTCGCACCTCAGGCTAAATGCACCAAGGAGAGTAAGGCAGAAAATGCCTTGTGCTTTGCACTGTGAAGGCATGGGGCAACATGAGTGTAGGCACTGCTCTGCACCAGGAAAGCTTCAGATCACAGCTCTGCAGGTACAGGTTTGGTGCTCAGACAGGAGGTTCCTCGCAACACAAGGTCAGGTATTGATTATTGTGTCAGGCGCTGTGTGAAGGTATCTTGTTTACCAGCTTTCTTATTATCTATTTGTGCTTTTAGTAAGCACGTGGGTGACAAATTGGATTCTGTGAGAACTTGACCTGAGCATGAAGCAAGGGAAATGTCACTTCTTGTTGCTGATAGACAACAAACCGAATGTCTGAATGGGTTTGCTGTGTCTGTTCATTTGTGATGGATCAGAAATACCAGCTCTGAACCACACCTACATCCTGTGACAGCTGGCGTGCTGGCATAGCTGCAGCTTACTGCATAAGGGTCTGTTTGCACCTTGAAACCAGGTAGAACAGTTGTGGTCCGAATCAGGGAAATACCAGTTATGCATGGATTTGGAGGCACTGGTTTGAAGATTTGTTTGTTTTTTACATCATGCTCACAATTGTAATACAGCATCTCTACTTCTGATGTGCCACGGATGTGTGTGCGCTCCTGGAGCGGATGTCTGTAATGTGTTTTTCTCAAAACTAGTTGTATGCTAGACCTTAATGGTACTTAATTGCTACATATAAATTAAATTTGACCCACCTTTGCCTTTCTGTCGCTGTGAGCACTTCATGTGGTGTAATACCTGAAAGGAGCTTACAAGCAGGAGGGGAGCTGACGTCGTGCAGGTTCATAGTGGTAGGACAAGGGGGAGTGGGTTTAAACTGAAAGAGGGGAGGTTTAGGTTAGATGCTAGGAAGAAAGTCTTCACTCAGAGGGCAGTGAGGCCCTGGCACAGCTGCCCAGAGAAGCTGTGGTGCCCCATCCCTGGAGGCATTCAAGGCCAGGCTGGATGGGGCCCTGGGCAGCCTGATCTGGTGGATGGCAGCCCTACCCATGGCTGGGGTTTGGGGCTGGGTGGGCTTTGAGTTCTCTTTCAACCCAAATCATTCTGTGATCCTGTGAATATGGCGATAGATGTTGACAGGTTGTATGCATGCTTGCTTCTGTGATGCTCGGCAGTAAAATATTTACCCTGATAAATAAAGATTGCGTTAGGATTGGTTCTAAGCTTGTGCAGACAAGGTGAGTGCATGTGGGAGTAAACTGACAGCTGTGGCAAAATCATAGCCACAAAGCAAGCGAGAGCCCCTCTGGCCCCAGCTCTGTGTTTGCTCTGCACAGAGCCGTCTTCCTGAAGACCATCGCTGGGGAGCAGCACTGACAGTTGTTGTTCTGCTACATACATGCCTGCTACGTGACTGCCTCCTTCCCTCACCCACTGCTGCTGGGAAGGAGAGCACTGCTGCACGAATGTGGGTTGTTGGGTTTTTTCCCCTGTGCCAATGAGGTCAGTGTAAGGTTTTTATCTTTGTTTTTAAGAGTGACAAAACTCGATTTTATTTTTTTTTCCGTATACTTCTGAGACTGTGTCAGCTCTGGCTGTTGATTTCAATCCTGCCAAATCTTAATGTGGCTTTTTTTTTTTAATTAAATAAATTTAGTGAGTGGATAGACAGCTGATTGCAACTGAAGGCATTGTTTTTCCTAATAGATTTGTGCATTATAGAAAAAGTCTTCATGTGGGTAACACACTGTGCTGCTGAGCTGGAGACCTTCTTATGCTCCCTCCTGGAAATGGATTTCAATCAATATCCAGTGTTTTCTGCACATAGAAACATTTAAAGACAAAAATCTGAGGAGCTGGGAAATCTTAATGCTGTAGAATTTCAAGATCTGATCACTTTTTCTATGCCTGTTATTCATACAAAACTCTGTAATTCTATGAATTTGTTTTTTAAAGGTTTTTTATGCTGGTTTTCTTGTCATTATTATCAGATGGAGTGCAAATAATTTGTGAGTGATGTGTTTATTATTTTTTTAAAAGGTTTTTATTTTCTTCCTCAACCACAAATTTGTACCTTTAAAAATAAAAGACAGTTTGTCCAGAGTTTTACTTAGCTGATGTCAGTGCATGACTGAATAAGGTCATTTAAAATTTCTGTTGTTGTGTGTGTGACTGCACACACTGACCTAAGATGCGGCCTTATGCCTCTACCCTGGAGGTGTTCAAGACCAGGTTGGATGGGGCCATGGGCAGCCTTGTCTAGTATAAAATGCGGAGGTTGGTGGCCCTGCCTGTGGTGGGGCGGGTTGGAGCTTCATGATCCTCGAGGTCCCTTCCAACCCTGGCTGTTCTGTGATTATAATAAATCTCCTGAGGTTCTGCAGTTTTGTAGGTTGTTCTGTGTGAAATTGAACTTAGGAAATTGGATTTCATTTGTGACTTCTCTCTGGCAGATTCTCTGTGTACCACTGAACCTTGATGTGGGTGTAGGAGCCAGCTTTCGTGCAGACTCGTTGCTGTAGCTTTCTGTTCATGGAAAGTAATTTTCCAGTCACCAACCATTAACTTTTGTTTCAAATTCGTTTCCCTGCAGGAAGCCGCGCAAGCCTTGATTTATGCTGGCATGGCAGGGTCAAGCTTGGAAAATATTCAAGAAAAAATAAATGAGTATTTGGAGAGAGTTCAAGCTCTCCATTCAGCAGGTGGGTGAGAAGCTTTCTAATCAAACCTCTGCATAAATTCAGTAGAAAGCCCAACAGTGCCGTGAAATATGTATCTGTGATGTTTGCTCTGCTTCTCATGTTTCTTATATTTTGTGAGTCTGTTTAGAATTCCTTAGTGAATCAGAAATGTAGCGCAGTGCAGACTTATTTCCTAAGGACTTGGGTGTGCATATTCTTCCACTTTAAATATTGTTAGGAACCACACCTGCATAATATGCAAGAGATCTTATGTACGTTACTTGACATGTGACATAACCTGAGAGCATGTCTCAGCCTTGGGGGAAGAGTGTTTCTTTTTCCTTGTAAAGATGTCTTCAGCAAAGTTTGCCAACTTTCTGTTTGCAGTCATAGAGTAGACATTTCTCATCTGATAGAACTACTAGTGTTTCAGTGCTATGAGGAGGATGCTTTTGCATGTCTGCTGCTGTAGAAAGCTGAACGCTTTCATTTTTCTTTTAGTTCAGTCTCAGAACACAGACCCTCTGAAGTCAAAACAGCAGCTGGACTTGGAGCGTGCTCACTTCCTAGTTACACAGGCTTTTGATGAAGATGACAAAGGCAATGCAGAAGAAGCTATAGAGTTGTACACGGAAGCAGTGGAGCTCTGTTTGAAAACAGTATGTTAAGCTACAAGTTAACTTGGTGGAATTACGTGATGGTAAGGAATTCTTCCACTTACACAAACAACTGACTCCTGAAGGCTGGCTTAAAAATGGAGTACCTGTATCTCTAAAAGCTGTTCTTGAATGTTTTTTTTTTCCATTAGTTGTTTCTGTAATGTTTCTTCCAGTTGTTACATTATTTAATGCTGTAAATTCATGGGGGCTGGTCATTTGTGTGTTTTCACTGAGCCAGATTATACTAAGAGATACAAATATGCTGAATATTTTGTCCTGTTAACTTTTACACTAGAATGAATGCAATATTAAAAGAGAAATCAAAAACTGTTAGAATTGAAGATGGCTTTCTAATGTGTCAGCTATTTTATTTTCTGACTATATTAAAGGAAATAATTGTTGGCAGTTTTTTGTGTAGCGTTTTCTGAAAGCATAACAGTCTCCTGCTGCCAAAACTGGTAAAAAATACTGTTTGATTACTTGGTAGCTAACATTAAAGATATGAGTGAATCCAATTCACGCTGCAGTTAATGGTAGAGTAAAATTGGCCCTTATGTGAATGATGACAAACATAATTACAGGTACTGCTTTTTTCTCTGAAGTCCAGTTGTCATAACTAACTCATTATAGGAAGAGTTCACCATCATAATGTAACTCCACCAAGTCTGTTTTTCTTTTTTCTCCTCTTTCCTTTTTGTAGTGTGAATATATATATGGGTTGTTGGGAGGGAAATATTACTATTGCTACATACTAAAGTAAAACCTTTGCTCGGAATTCTTCCAAACTGTTTTAGGTAGACTTAAAAACCCTAGTGATACAAGGTAACCAGATCAAGAGCTAGTAGAACTGCCCTAGTTTTTCTGCTTCAGCTGTTAAATCAAAACTGCTTTTGTCTATTACGTAAACCACTGCATCAGCACACTGCTTTTGACTCTGCTGTTTCTCCTTCTGTTGTGTTAGTACATGCACGTACTGCTTACATGTAATTCCAGAGTAATTTCCATTTCTCATTAACAGTTGCTGTTACCTGATCTTTTATTAGGTGCAGATACAGCTAACGTTTCTTTTAATATTGGCAACACATTGTTTTGTTAAAATGACTGTAGGCTTTATCCCTCAAGGGGATCAGAAATTCTTCTCCCCAGGATGAAAGATGGAATGAACTCTGTCTTGAATCACTACTTCTGCCTTGCTTTCTGCTTTCTATATTAGATGGGGAGATCAGCTTCTTTCTTACCTTTGAAGCAGTAAGAGAGCAGGTGTGTCTATTCCTCAGTGTCTCATCAGATAGGTCTTCTGGTGTATCACATCCACTGCTTCCCTTCATGCATCTTTCAAAGTCTTTTCCAACAAGGAACTCCTAAGTGTAACTTACTAAAAATTGTTAGGGTATTTCTGCTTTCTTAGGCTGAAAGTAGCTTGCCTTTTGTTTCCTCCATTTACGTAGATGACCCAGGAGAATCAGCCAAGGTACAAAGCTCAAACCTGAAACCTGCTATTGGTTGTGACAAGAGAAGCCACAGCTCATGTTGTGCTTCCTCCAGATTACCTGTTCACCTGTAAGGAAGGAAATATAAACTAGTTATATGAGTGAGCTGTCACAACGTACTTTCCAACTGGAAATAGAAGTTAGCACTCCTGATAATGGTTTTGGTGCCCATCGTAGATCATTTTATGCTTCACATGTGGCAAAACAAGAGTTTTAACTTGCAAGCAGGCTTCATCAATGAAAGTGAGCATTCAAATGTATCTTTTCCTAAGTTACCATTATTATTTTTGACGTACTTGTGAAAAAAAATAATTGGCATGCATCTTATTTCAATAGTGTACATAACATTTGTTGTTTTTTTTCTGTCCACAATTTTAATGGTTTTCTAAGTGGTTTTTTTTGTGTGTATGCATTTCAGTATTTCCCATGCTGAAAAATGCTGAATAATACTTTCATTCTATGAATGTTTACTAAAATATTAAAATAATATTCACTTAGTATCCTTTTTATATTGAGATTTAAAAACAAAATCCACCGCATACATATCTGCTCATTTCAAGGGAGGATTGGGGGAAAAAAAATAGGTGGGAACTGTAATTAAACAGCTTAACATCTGGACTTTCTTCGGGTGTGTAGCTTTTGTGTTGTTTATGTGTTTTGAATTGAAGGCTACAGAAACTTCAGAAGCAGGCCTGCAGGCAAAACTGAAACAACTGGCTCGGCAAGCACTAGATAGGTGAGTATTGCCACTGTTAGTACAGGTAATAGCTGCTGAGTGTCAGTACACTCTCTGAGTTGAATTCTCAATCTGTTATGTCTGTTCTGTACTGCAAAGCATAGAGATTCTGACCAGACCTAACTCAGTTAGAGTTTTCCTGGTAGATAGCTGCCAGCTGTTACACAGATAGATGAGGTAGCTCTTGTGCCAACCCTCTGGAAATGTCATGCAGAATTAGGGAAGGGCTATGTGTCTGTTAGTACCATGCACTGTTTCAGTATTCAGAGAGATAAATCAGAATGCTCTACTCCTGTTCTGGCTTTTATAAAAACACTGAATTGAGTTGAGTGCTAAGCCTGGGTGTCAGCATCTCTTCACTATGAAGACAGCTTAAAAACTGGGAAGTACTTGGTTTGAGGCAGCAATTTAATCATGTGGGTAAATCCAGTGGATGAGAATCTGTATCTAAAACAAGTTGCATGAGTGCAAGTCCAATGTAAGTCCTTTTTGAGTCAGCAGTATGACAGAGAATAATGAACTGTGTTGGGCTGCTTTAGTATTAGCAGATTTCCAGTGCTTTTCAGTCTGCGTTAAGAAAATCCCACCCTGATTTGCACGTGTGACTATCTCACAGTTTAATGCAGCAACAAAAAAAAAAAGATGGCTCCTGAATGTAGCCTTTAAGCAGCTGAAATGCTGGATTTTAAGAGCAGTTGGTTTTTTCCTGCTGTAGTAATTGCTAGTCAAATCCTGAAGTCTAAGAGAAAGCAAGGTGGTAGGTGATGCTGAAACCAACATTGATGAGTTACCACTGAGATCCTGCCTCATGGGGGAAGCAGTTAGGAAATTATGTCCTGTCAGTGAATCACTCTAAAAGGGATTTTCTCTCTCTGGGTTTGTGGTCTTTTTCTGAGGTTTCAGATAATGAATGCTTATGTAAATGTTGCTATTACTATAGTCTTAAAGGTGACAAAAACCTAATGAATTCTGCTGAAAATACCTTTGAATTGAATTGCAAATGCTATATTTTAATTGATAGTAGAACAGGAAAATAAAGAAATAGTGGCATCAGTACTGAATGATTTCTGATGCTTATCTTCTATTGATATCGTTTATGAATTTTTTCATAGGAAAAATGATATTGGTCAGCTTTAGCATTGTTCATCCCTTCTAACAAATGTGAAAGCATGAACAAGGCAATAAATGACTGACCCATAGCCATATTTTCATTACGATTGTACACAGAATGCATTTTTCTTTCCTTTAGAGCAGAAGCACTGAAAGTATCGATGTCAAAGTCATCTCAGAAGGAGAAGTCAACTGCTGCTAAACCAAACCAGCCCGTCAGAACATTCTTTCCACTGGGTCCTGATTTTTCTTTGAATGATAAACCACAGACAATCAGAGCAGTACAAGCTAGTGAGTCTCAAGGTCAGAGGTACACTGCAGAGGAGATTGAAGTACTCAGGTGAGCAGAGGCCAAGTTTTTACAAAGTTTTATCATTTGTGCACACATCCTTCGTGCATCTTGGACAGCAAATTGTTATACACCTAAGCTTGAGGTATATGAGCAGAGGCTTGGAAAACCACCACTTACAAACACATTTGTTGCCATTACCCACACTGGTATTCTCTCCAGTATTGTAATCAGTGGTTTTTATTCACAGAGCATGTTTAGAAGACAACTGGTAGTTGGCTGCCAGGAGTATTTTTCACAGCCATATTTTTGTATGTTTGTACCTGATGGAGTTCATGAAAGATCTCACTCACAGGTGCCCAGGTATAGGAATGGTTTTACGTATGATACAACTTCTGTTTCACAGGAAATAGAGGAAGCATGGTATGCTTCAGGATTATGCCTTCTGTTACATTCAGTTCCTTTTGTATTTTAACAAATCCATAAAACCTTCAGGTAAGGTTGTAATTTTGAAAACTATGAAGTATATGCAAAAAAAAAAAAAAAAGGCAGTGTCTGATAAGGACTACAACCTTCTTCCTTCTCACTCTGCAGTAAATAGGATTGTGACAGAGGTGATGTTCAATGCTGTCCAGGATTTGATCTTCTTCCACTTAATCTGTTTATTTACTATAGGCTCTTAAATGGACTAAAGGTATGGTCCTGAAGATAGAAATGTGAGTGAGTTTGAAAAGCTGCAGACTTTTCAGACTCAACCTTTGAAGGATGATAGATAAGTTTGTAACTGTGTCTTTCTCTTGCAACTTGCAGAAAGACTTCAAAAATTAATGGCATTGAATATGTCCCTTTCATGAGTGTTGATCTGAGAGAACGTTTTGCCTTCCCTATGCCATTTTCGTAAGTGCTTTTCAATTACTGATGTTTCTTTGCTGTTATTTTGAATTCTTTCCAATCATCAGTATTGTTGTGTTTTCTCTTGAAATTGTTTAAGCAGATTTTTAAGCATAATTTTGGCTGAGGTACTTAGATACTGCAACCTCATTTCTCCAGTCTGGTCTTGGAACTGTTTAACGTAAGCTGATCCTGCTCTGCAGTGCCTTTGCAGTTGTCCCTGCAAGCCTTGAAGAATTCCAATTGGGTTTTTTGAAGTATTGGGCTATGCTGGTAACTTGGCAACAGAGTCAGGAAATGGAGCCTACTGTTTTTAGTGCTCTCTGTCTCAGTTGTCCCACCTGCAAAATGAAGGTGGTAGCTGTCTCCTTGCAAAGGGCTATTCAGAAAAAGAGTGACAGAAAACTGTTAGATGTTTGTGCGTGAGCAGTGATACAGGCTCACCTTACATAGCCATAAAAGGCAAGTCATCTGGTTGGTGTTTTTTCTTCAGTTTTCTGCCAAAGGCACGACAATCAGATATACCTCAATATTTTCTGAACTGAAGAAGCCTTTTATTAGATCATCATGTTGAATTAAAGGCAAGAATTTGGGTTTCTGCTAGGGCAGTTGGCATCTGGAATTCCTTTCTTCTGTTCAGTCCTATGAAGGAGACTCTTGGGTTTTATTTCACATTTATAATATTTTCTGTTTTTCCCCACCAAATTGTCAACTTTGTTCTCTGAATTTCTTTTCCAGCTGTGTAATTGTTCTATGCACATTTTGCACCATCTGTCAGATATATGCATGACTTGGGATGTCATTAAAAGCTTTTCTATCTAACCTGTTATTTCTGCCTTTCTCTCCTAAATCTAGTGATAAATGTGGGAAGTTGCCATTATCCCCCAAACAGAAAGCAATGTTTGCCAGGTGGGTACGGCCAGATGACATAACAAATAACCCTACCATGATTTACACCGTATCAAGTTTCAGCATAAAGCAGGTAAGTTGGTCCCAAAGAGGAATGTTAGCTGCTATGAGACTTCCCAAAAAAGAAGATTACTTTTTCAAAAAGAAACCCCTAAATGTGAGAGAGCTTTTCATGGCTCTCTTGATGTTAATTTAATGACAGCACCACCTCAAATTCCATGTGTTTTTTTTAGCCATGAGAATGAACAAGTGCATTAACAGTGGAAACTGTGTGTTTTGGGAAGAAAGAGGTTAAATGTGAGTGAATGACAAGATAGCTGCATTTACCTCTCATTGCCTTCAATAAATCTTTTAACTTACAGAACAAGCAATGTTTCCTGCTTGCTTTTTTTTTTTTTTTTTCAGTAACTTGGCTTCTTTCCATTTAAATCCTTTCACTATGGAGGGGAATCACTAACTGACAATTTTCCCTTCTTTCCTGCTCAAGCCATTTTTCTTTAGTATCTAAATGTTAGTAAATATCCTCGTTGTCATCTTTTCTTTACAGACAATAGTGTCAGATTGTTCCTTTGTGGCATCCCTTGCTATCAGTGCTGCGTATGAAAGAAGATACAACAAAAAGTTGATTACAAGGTAAATAGCTGCTATTTTCTAAGATCATCAGGTTTAACACAGCTAAGCAGTATGTTCTGTTTAAATTGCTGTCTGTTAAGCTTATTCATGAGTAATATGTAAAAAATATTTAGATTAGTATGCTCTACTTTCATCAGTTTTAATTGAGGCTCTCTATCGTACATTTGGGTACAGTAAAAGCTAGTGTTTGTTTCACCTTTATCTCCCTTGGAATCTTGTGGCTTTACCTCTTCTGAAAGTGAAACTACTTTAAATGTGCTTTGAGAAGAGCAAATAGTCTGGAAGGCTTTGTTTTTAATAGCAGTTCTACTTAGAATGCCTTGTAGGTTTGTTTCTTTGTTACGTCAACTGCTGTACAACAAATAGTTGCTATTAAATCTTGCTGCAGAATGGTAACAACACTGTCTCAATCCAACTTAACAAGCATTCAGTGATAAATTTAGCATGCATTTGGCAGGCTGTCTGCCAGGAGCCCATTGCCAGACAAGTGTGTGAATGTTATTTCTAGAATTTTGTTTTAACCTATACTTGCTAGAAGGGAACGTGTAACCTTTGTGAGCAGAGAGTTCTGTATCACTGTAGTCTTGAAACCTTTGACTGTCATTCAGGCTAATACTGTATTTTATTGATATTGATACATTTAAAAGTAAGACATCTGCTTGTGTTTCAGTTAGAGAAATTACTGTATAACTCGGGTTTTCTTACTCCGATTAGGAGAGAACTGCATCAGGAATAAGGTCTGAAATATAAAATCTATTTAAACATCATTGCCACTTTTATTAAATTTGAGTGGCTTTTTCATGTAAAATTCCATATTTATCTCTTAGTATAGATTCTAGAAATCCCACTTTTCATGTTATCACTCTGTTGACAGCAGAGTCACTTATGTCACAATTTATGTGTTTTTTTTTAACAGTATAATTTACCCTCAGAATAAGAAAGGAGAACCAGAGTATAATCCATGTGGCAAATACATGGTGAAACTTCATATCAATGGTGTACCTAGAAAGGTAAATTTTTTGGGGGGAACTTAATACTCTTACTGTTAAAATCGTGTATTTTAAAAGCTGACAACCAAAGATTTTTTGTGAAGAGAGGAGATGCCTGAAGATAAATGGTAGAGCTTTATAAACTCACAAACATCGTTTTTTTTTGTGCAGTAAATAGTGGTATAAAATAAAATACTGTAGCAGTCTGTATTGCAGTTCATTTTGAATGATCACTGTTTGTGGGAGTTCAAAAATCCAGTGGTTGTGTTCATAGCTGAGGGGCTTGGGACAAGTCCTCAAATATTATCAAATGCTAAGATACAACCTCTAGCTTAGGAGGCCTGTTAGTAGCAAAATCCTGGAATCTAAATGACTGTTAGAGGGAAGGACCACCTCAGTGTTTCCCCCTGCTCTCCATGCTCTCCAGTATATCTCCCCATGGCTGCTTTTTGGTAGGGTGAGTGGCTGTGCTCTACAAAAAGGATTATCCATTCTTGCACAAATAGGATTTGACATGAAAATGTGCTTTCTCAGTAGTGTATTGGTAATAGACTGATGGTAGTGTGAAATATCTGTGCTGGGAAATTGTTTCAGACCACAATGAGTACTGCAGTAATAATCTATACTAATGGGAAGGATAGTCCACATAATTTAAACAAGAAATGTAGATGTTTTTGCAACTGCTCCTTTAATACTTCTTCCTTTCTAGAGAAAAGAAACATAAATTAGGAACTGGGGACTATGGAAGTGATGAGACATGCATTTTGGTCCTTTATAGATCAATGACTGCAATTCCTCCACTGCACACTGAGCACAATCTATGTTCTTTCTCCTAGTTAGGAGAGGGATGTTGTTAGGCCTTTCTCTACTTTTCCTAATATTGACAGTCACACTGAGCTTTCCAGCTGGTGTTAAATGCTTGACGAGCAAGTTGTGTCTTAACCTCCACTTCCTAAAGAGCAAACCAAGGCAGATGCTCACAGGTCACCCAGTGGTGGTGTGTGAGACAGCTAGCAACAGAACAAGTTGTTCACTGTAGGGCAAGCCTCTGATTGGTACAGGTGTCCTCATCTGAAAAAGTGGTCAGATCTGTGCCTTGGAAGCCTAAGTATGTGCCTATATATTCCTAAGAGTTAAGTTTTGTTGTTTTTTTTTTTAAATACTTGCAGGGTACTTCATTAGCTGTACGATAACTTCTTATTTATTTTGCACAGGTGATCATAGATGACCAGTTACCTGTTGATCATAATGGGGAACTTCTCTGCTCTTATTCTAACAATAAGAATGAACTGTGGGTATCGCTAATAGAAAAAGCTTACATGAAGGTCATGGGAGGATATGATTTTCCTGGATCAAATTCTGTAAGTACTAGATAATTTCTAATAAGAAAAAGAATAGATAATCTCTGTCAAGTTTCCTCATTTCTTGTAGTGAAATCAGAATGGAATGCTTGGGAAGTAAGCGTTGGATTTCTTCCTTTTTGTTCTAATTTTTCTTCCTATCACAGACGTGCTTAACTGTGCTCAAGTATGTCAGACTTGAAGGGCAGAGTTAAACTTGTACTAACTGTAGGACTGAGACTTAGGGTTAGAAAGTTATGCTTTATATTGACACTAGATGAAAGTTTGGAGCAAACTCATACATTTTTTTGCTTCTACCTGTACCAGTAATGCAGATTTTTTGTTTCTAACTGTCATTCTATAGACAGCATGATTCTCCCTTGTTAAGTTGAGCAGCCAGCTAAGAAAGGAGCAGGCTGAAATACTCCATGTTTATGGAGGGAACAAGTACTTTGATATAAGAAAGCTTATCTGATTGTTCCACTCATTTATATGAATATGTATCAGGTGCCTATAGTGTGGTTACTTAATAGGCTGTCATAATGCTGCAGCCAAGTTGTTGATGGGGAAACTATTCTTTCAGAGAGTCTGGACTATTCCAGCCCAAATAATCTTTATTCATTACCTAGAAAGGATTTCTGATTTTTCATTCAGACTTACTAAATTTAAGTGTGTTTTTATTCCATTCTAGTTGATGTCTTGATAATTGTATTCTTTGTGGATGTGATAGGCAGTTATCACCTTCAGAAATGTGATTATTGAGGCAAATGTGGCCTTGCACAAGGGCAGAATGTGCCATACATTTTTAGGTATGTTTATGTCAGTGGAGGGTGCTTTGTTCTGCGGAACAGTGCTGAAGAAACAGAATAGAACCACCACATAGAACCATGACACTGTTCTACTTGCATTGTCCTCCTCTAACTTGCTGTCTGGAAAAACAGCTTGACATTTGACATCTAATCTCCACCCCCTGTTCTCCACTACATCACAGCTTCATTTTCTAATCAGTCTATTGTCTGTTGTATTTGCAGTTTGCAAAGTTCCCACCCACCAGTGCTGTTCCTGGACTCTTCAAGCCTTTACAGTCTTTGCTTTTCCTTTGAGGAGTTCAAAGCAGGAGGAGAGGAAGCAATGTTTCAAGGAGATAAAATGAGGAGATTAAAGCCTTTTTTTACTGAAAAGCATGACAGTGTCAGCCTTACAAAAAATATATGTATATATTAAAAACCTCTGAAACCCTGAGCCTTAGAAGTAAAACATAAATAATTTAGAATGCATATATAATAGCAAGATTGCAAGTAGTTCTTCTGAGGCTGTAATTTAAAATTCTGTGAATCAAAGAAATAAATAGAACGCATCATAAAACTGATGGAACTCTTCTAATGCTTTCATAACTCAAGTTTCAGTTCTTCATCAGCTCAGTTTTATCAGATTTCATACTGTCTTACTCTTGAGTCTTCATATGTAGAGCTATTGTAATAAGTGTCTTTGGTTTCTTTCAAGGTGCTTTGATGGTTACCTGTTGTTTTCTCTGAACGCTTGTATTTCAGAACATCGATCTCCATGCGCTGACTGGTTGGATACCTGAAAGAATTGCTATGCACTCTGACAATCAGGCTTTTGATAGAGACAGCACTTTCAGAATGCTCTATCAGAGGTAGAAGTTTGTTCTTTCTTAACTAATCAAAATGCTTGCTCTGCAGTAATTGGATTACCAACTTACAGTCATCACAGATCCCTCAGCAGAATCTTGGTGCTACAAGTTGTGGTTTGTATGCTTTCTGGAAGAAGAAAAAGTGATGTATTGGTGACTTTAATAGGAGAGTAAGATACTATGGAATATTTTTCCTTCCTATTTGATAGGGAAGAAAAAAAAAAAAAAAAACAGCCAATTTCTTGATGAAGAAAATAAACTGTAGAGTCAGAGAAGAGCAGATGAGAACCATTGTACAACTGAAGTCTTTAAAAAGCAGAAGGAAATATAGGAGGAGTATCCCCCGGAACTTGACTTGCTGTCCCTAGCAAGCAGATCAGTATGGTATTCTTAATCATATCACAAAATCTTGATTATTATGCTCCAGTTGTAAAGGAGTTTCTGGAGGAGTGGCAGAAAACCTGTGTTGAAACTGTGATCCTCATCTTCATACTTGTTGCAACACAATTCTACTTAGGGTGAAAGATTCAGTGTAAAGTAAATGTCAGCTAGCAAGTACTTAAATTAATTTCTCAACTGTTCTGTGCAACCAGTTCCTCTTGTATCTCAAGGCAGTAGATGGAGGATATTCTGTTGACTGAAAGAGCCCCATTCATGATGGGAGAGTGGAATTATTTCCATAGTGCTTTTTCAGTAGTTTAGGAACTCGCACTTGATGGTCAGTTTTTCAGATAGATGTTCTGACATTGCAGTTTGTAGGTGTGGCTGCAATTTGTGAGATCTAGTCATCATAGCTTCACTGTTGTTGTTAATCTGTGCTACACTGACAATCTGTAGTCTGTGAACTGTGCAGGGTTACACAGTACCTTGAGAGCATACTTGGATTGTACCATGTTGTAGGAAACAGTAGCAGATCTTCCTAACAGTGATCACTGTGAACAACTGCAATTCAGAATAATTGCAGAACTCAGCTGCTGTTTGACAGTTCAAACCCTGTAGGAATGACACTGAGTGACACAAAGCTGGAATGTGGGCACGTGCAGGAATCTATGATTTATTGACTGATTTATTTACTTTCCAAGTTTGTGAAGCCCCATCAAAACCCTGGGGTCAATAGAGTTAACTCACTGTATGCAGTGATTTGAGTAAGTGTTGATGAAGCCATTTCTGTGTTCAGGTGAAGATCTGTGAGTATTTTTAATAGATGACACAGATTGAATTTTAGAATGACAAATGCTTATTTTTATGTTACAATGACAGTAGCTATTTATTTCACATGCAGCCTGTATTTAAATATTGGAAGAAAATAGTGCTGTTTTCTGAAGCATCTTCAAGTGTGATTTCTGCTTACAATAAACAACCTGTATTTCTATGAAGTAGGATCATACTAACAGTGTGCAAACATGCCATTACAGTATCTGTCAAATGTTAGTTTGCAGCTGTTAAAAATAGCTTAATTAAAATGTTCTCTCTTTTTTTTTTACTAGGTTTCATAAAGGAGATGTCCTGATCACAACAGCAACAGGCGTGATGTCTGAAGAGGAAGGAGAAAAATGGGGTTTAGTTCCAACCCATGCCTATGCAGTCTTGGATATAAGAGAACATAAGGTACCAAGTAAAAACTGAATGATTTTTTCAGATACCAGCTTGAAACCTTTGTCCAAGATGGATTGCTACTGATTTTTAGTTCATTTTGTCTTAAGCTTTCCAGGATTTCCCAGTAAAACTCAATGATGCTATTTCCTTAAGATGCTGGTCCCTATTCCATGTTCAGATAAATGAAAACATAACCTTGATAAGGTGAATCCAGCAGTTTTACTTTGTATTTCCTCAGGGGCTTAGATTCCTCCAGCTGAAAAATCCATGGAGCCACTTACGTTGGAAGGGACGATACAGTGAAAATGACACAAGAAGTTGGACCCCAGATCTACAAAAATACTTGAACTTTGATCCAAGAACAGCTCAGAAAATAGACAATGGTAATAAGGCATAAAAAATCACTGTATGCTCAAATAATGCAGACCTTGGTGGTTTATCCCTGCAGAAAGGTGGAAAGAAACACTTAAGCACAAGAAACAGGTGGAGTAACTGAGGAAACCCTTTTGTTTAATGCCACTTCATTATGACAACAGTATGCTTCCAAGTCCATTGGAGTTTAGCATTTCATTTGAACTTCATGCAGTGTGTAAGAATAGCAGTCCTGGCTTTTGGTAGTTAGGAGAGATTAGCTCATTACAGATCCATTCAGTAAGGAATTGGTGCATCTGTAGAGTCTAATAGTTAAAATTTATATGAAGTTACATTAACAGTTTTAAGGAAGTTATTTTTCTGACTGGATTTTCCTGCTGATTTTCTAAAAGTCTGAAGTCTAAATATGTAGCTGTTCTGACTGTATATCTTTCTAGTGCTGCAAGACCTGTGAGTGCCAGTATCAAAGACCTATTTGAGAGTTCATTTCATCAGGAATCTGTCAGTATGGAGGTGGTGGTGCTGGTTGGAGTTGCAATTAAATGAGCTGTAGAGCGTTAAAATTACACAAGAATTGTAAAGATGAAGCAGATGCGGGGTGCTAAAGCAAGTCCCATAAAGAAGTACCTTAGAAATACAATTCAGGGTATTCACATTAATTGAATAGTTCACTGTGTTGCTAAACTGGTTTGTTGAACTGGGATAACCTTTTTTTTTTTTTTCCAGAAACTTAGGAAAGCATAAGGCAGCTCAGTATCAATTAGTGATGTCTTTATTGGATAGCACAGAGGTTCTCTCATGCCCTCTGATTAATGCTTGAGAATGAAAATGTCTTGTCAGCTTCAGAAAGAACCCAGTGTTAAAGATAAGCAGAGATTCTAACTAACTTGTCTATCTTGGTTTAACTTGTTTGCTTTGTGAGTTAAGTTTAACTTTAGGAATGCAGGCAGTGCAGATGTTACTACTCTGTTTCATAGAAATGTGGGGTTTATATCAGCTGTACTTTTTGCCTGAAAAGAGACTTCTGAAAAATGAGTAAATTCAACATTTCTGGTAAGCAAACAATAACAGCAGTTTCTTTTTAGGGATTTTCTGGATTGCCTGGGAGGACTTGTGCCAGTACTACGATGTTATTTATTTGAGTTGGAACCCTGGTCTTTTTAAAGAATCTACATGTATTCACAGGTTGGTCCAAGAGAAAAACTTCCGTGTCAATATAATGCTGAATGTCTTGATGAGGTGTTTCCTTTCTTCCATTTGTTTTTCCTCACTGCTGCAGAGGTTGGGCTCAAGATCATGGTTAGAGTCCAGCTTTACTACTATAAATTCTGAGCTCAGGCTTTTGTTTTGAGGTTTTCCATAACACTGTTGAAACTCCTGTGATCTTTGTGACGATACTGTAGACCTAAGGTTGTATAAGTGGATGCTGACCTCAGTACCACATCTCTATATTAGAACAGAAATTAGGTTTGTGCACAGTCAGTGTTAGTTTACTTAGTCACTAGGCAGTGCTTCAGTGACCTAACTTTTATTTGGAATTCATTTTACTGGGCAGTTCCAAGCCGTTTGTGCAGTGCGTGTTGTCTTTTATAAGTGTATATACAAGGTGTATTTGCTCATGTCGTAGGAGTCAAAGTCCATTTCTCACCAGTTGTAGTTTTGTGTTGCCTTCTTTAGCCATCAGTTTATTTGAACATGATACTGGTTCTCCCTCTGGTATTCGTTTCATTCAGTCTTTTTCTAACCCAGTTAGAAGAGAAGTGCCTCTGTTTCTGGAAGTGAGGGTTTATTTGTTTCTCTGCTGCAGTATACCACGCTTCACCCCTGCTTCCCCATGGCTTCTGTATGCGTTAGCTCTGCACGAGCTCCATCATCAATAGCACAACTTCTCAATTTCTCTGTAAAGGCTCCTTCCACCTTTGTGTTCAGACTAATTCCAAGAAGTGCTGTCTTGGAGCAAGATGAGATGAATATTCACACTCAATCGTCTTCTACTCTGTATTTCCTTGTATTATTAATGATTGTCATACCTCTGCATAGGGCAGTGCCTAGCACAGTGACATCTGCCATAAATAGTGGCATAACAACAGAGATAAATTGAAGCTTAGTTAATAATGCAGCCATTCACAAACGCTGTTTGGTTCAAAGGGCTGAGAAGGGTCGATGACACAAATAGCTTTATCCATTTCTGTTCCCAGTGTGTCACACTCAGTGTTGTCATCAGCACTTTTTTTTTTTCCCCCGTTTTCCTTGTCTAGACAGTTCCTGAGGCAGGTTTTGTAATAGGGTACCTCGAGGTACCAGGCACCTTTCCAAACATTAAGCAGATTGTTATTCAGAAATTTACCTGAATATAGAAATCTGTAGGGGAGGGGGAAAAAGAAAAAGCAAGCGTTCGGACATAAAAGCTCATAAGAAGCATCGTGCAGTTAGAGAAGTCTAAATGTCTTTGTTTTCAAAACTGATCTGATGCAATGTCTGCATTGCTCCTAGTACTTGGGATGCAAAGCAAGGCCCAGTGAAGGATGCTTACAGCCTGGCCAACAACCCGCAGTACAAGCTGGAGGTGCAGTGCCCACAGGGTGGAGCTGTGGTCTGGGTGCTGCTGAGCAGACACATCACGGATAAGGTGGGAGTTCTCTTGCTTTCCACATTCTGAGCTCTGTAGTACCTGCTGTGATATTACTGCTCACATTTACATGTTCCAGGTATGGCTATATGTATAAACTTTAAATTCTGCTGTACGGATACCTGCTTTCAAGATGGTTGAGATAGACTCAGTGTAAAAATTGAGTGAGGTGATTACATTCCACCATTGGAGTTCCAAAGGAATTCTGACTCCTAAGGGCCTGAACTTCTTTCAGTTAATTAGTGGTAGCTGGTTTAATTCAGACATTTTAAAAAGATGAACGCAAATACTGGACCATAGCGTGTGGTGGTCAAAGGGATGGGAGAACGTGTGTTTGATTTACATTTAATGTTGGTTACGTTCCACAGAAGCTTGTAACTCCATTTGTGTTTTTTTTATAGGATGACTTTGCACATAACAGGGAATTTATTACTATGGTCGTATACAAGACTGATGGCAAAAAAGTTTACTATCCAGGTTAGTATACCTCAGCTGTCAAAAAAGATGGTGCTTAAGAATAAATGAACACTTGCAGAGAGTTCTCTGGGAAAGAGAGGCACAGTTTGTTTTCCTGCTGCAAAGCTCATTCTGTGAGGTCAGTCTTCTGATGTAGTCATTCAGCCCTTTGACCACCTTGACAGACTGATGGAAGGAATAAACCAAGCTGTATGCGCTTAAGATCTTAACCCTACTTGATTTTTGGAGCTTTATTGCAGCTGCAAAAAGGCCATGCATGTTTTATTCCAAGAAAGACAGTAGATCTGAGACACAGAAGTAAAGCTAATGCTCGTGTAACAGGTAATAGGAGCTTTTACAGTTCTTCTGAACAAAGAGTGGAACTTGGGTTGGTTGGTTGGTTTGTTTTTCTACTGGAATAGCTGATAATGGTTGTGGGGTTCATCTCTGGTCTTGCTCAGTGTACTCTGCCAACCAGTTTGCCTAGAATCCAAGCCAGCTTTCTGTAGAAAACATCCACTGAGGCCTTCCCAAAACATCAGGTTTTGCACGAGCTGGTCTTGCTAAAGAATTTGCTTGTCCTTACTGCCCAAGACATGCTTGTGATGCTGTTAGTTGTAACACTGCTTATTTTATGTGTGTTAGACTGAAAACATTCAGGTCAGCAACCAATGCACTTCTGTACACTGGAGGGAAAACTATTCTGCTGTGCTTGAAAAAGACAGTTTTCCAGCAGGACCATTAAGGAGAGCTGGATGACTTGTCTGTTTTTTCTTGATAACCAAACTCTTTCATAAACTTTTAAGCTCACGAGCTCAAACTCATTTGAAACCTTTTTCCATGGAAATAGATTTGTCAAGCTGCAGTATTATTTTTACCATCTGTTAAAATGAGATCAGAACTAAACAGGTTAATCCTTTGGCACAGAGACAGGGATTCCCCATTTCTAAGCTGCTTGTTGTTTTATTTTAATCCTTCTCCCATGTTGCTTTGTGGAAGAAAACAAAGGAACTGATCCTGGGTCTATTCAAGTAATTGGCTAGACTTGTCTCTGCTTGACTAAAATTGAAAGAATTCTGGAAATGACCAATTAGAGCCCAGATAACAAATTGCACTGTGTAATTGTGAAAGAAAAATGTTTGGGATGCTTATAATAAATACTGTTTGTATTGTGTAGTGATCCTAGGAGAATGGAGATGTGGTTTTGTTTCTCAAAGGCGTGAACATATTGCGAAGTCTTGTCTACCAACTGCAGCTGCCCTGTCAACAGAAAAGGGAGCTTCTCTAGCAGACTCCTCATAGGTTTTTGTAGAGTACTCAAAGATTCCTTATCTTTTTCTTTACATTTCAACATAATCACAGTAGAACTCCTTTGAACAGAGACGTTGGTGACAGCTGGACAAGTAGTTCTCTCAAGTCATTGAAGCTGTACTTTCAAGTGCAGAATTTGTCCTGTCATGTGTGATGTACATCTTCAGAAAATGACAGTTGCTCTTATGTGTCCTTGCTTTCTGTGAGCAAATCCTGAAGCTCCTTTCTTCTGAAAGCACTCAAGTCTGCTTATAGTCTAAACACAGTACCAACAGCCTGACTTTCTGAGCAGAATTCATTGATTATAAATGGCTGAGGGGTTTCTTTGACTGGGAGAAGTGTTCATTCTTTTCTTTTTCAGCTGATCCTCTTCCATATATTGATGGCATCCGGATCAACAGTCCTCATTATCTGACCAAGATAAAGCTGACCTCTCCAGGGACCCATACATTTACGTTAGTGGTGTCTCAGTATGAGAAACAAAACACCATCCATTACACCATCAGGGTACGTACTGCTGGTTTCATAATAAATGTGAATAATTATACTGTAAAGTGTCCTCTATTTGTAAATGTGATGAGTGAGTGCACTTCTGGGTCCATGTTGTTACTTGGAGGAGGGAGGCTATGAATGTTGGAGTGGAATCACTGGATGATGTGTTTGGTAATGTTCTCCATTGTAGCTGAGGCAATATAGGGTGCCAATACAATACAGTGGTGGTGGGGAACTCCTCTTCTTTTGCCATCAGCCACGACCTCTCCTTTTCCTCTGAAATGCCTTCTGATAAGAGATGGGTAAGATAGGAAGAGGTCACTGGAGCCCAAGTACTAAAGCTGCATTTCCTTTGTGGTTGTTTCTAAATAGAGCAAGTATCTAAAAAATCTTCGTAGGCAGTTCTGTTTTTTTTCTTTTAATGTCATGAGAAATGCCTGATGGGTGACCACCTCCTGCTTTTACCACACAGGTGTATTCCTTGTGCAAGTTTACCTTTTCCAAGATTCCTACACCTTACACCACTTCCAAACGGGTAAGGAATTTTTCTTTAGTTACTAAGTAATGATTCTGGGTTAGGTTTTCCATGTTTGAGATGTACAGGGTTCCTAAATACAATTTTCCACTAATGTCCAGAAATGCCAGCTTAGGCTGTGTTCTCAAAAACCAAACTTCTTAATTAAGAACATCAACTAGAGCTTAATGTAAGCATATCTGGTGCAAGACCAACCCTGTACTTAGGTTTCATATAACTTGCCAAACAATTAGCTGCTTTAAGCATTGTTCATAACAACAAAAAAGCCTTTGGTAGCTGGCTGACTCTTTATACTAGGAAGGATAGCAGCTTAAATTTTATCAGCAAGAGGCTCCTATCCAGTATATAAGCTTTATCTTCATCAGAGCGTGTTAGAGCTGTACTGGTGCAGATACAAATCAATCCTTTGTAGAACAAACTGACCTTTGGAGTAACAACCCGTGCCCTAATATGTAATGAGTGTGCAGAGAGTTGTGCACTTTATCAAAAGAAAGTGAGCAATTTTCTTCCAAACTTCCTGGCACAACAGGGCATAAGCAGCAGAGGCAAAGCAAAGGCACCACTGCTGAGATGTGACCATCCTAAGTAAGTCCATTTGTCACGAGACCTTACAGGCCTTACATTTTGCTATCTCAAAGGTCTGTAATCACTAGGATAAGCACTCACACTGTCAAATAGGAATGAGACAGCATACATACAGATGGTGTATTTCATATAGAAATGCTCCCTGAGAGTAGATCAGCAGTAGTGGCAAGAGCAAATACTTGGCTAGAATAAGTGAGAAGCCCAGGTGGTCTGGAGGCCACATGCTGCTGTTATTATTGTCCTTGAATCTCACCAGCTCAGGAGCACAGTAGGTAGCTAGAGAGATTCCTGGGAGCAATGTGACCAATTGTCAGTTGCTTAAGAAACCACTGTCACTTGAAGCTCTAAAAAACTGAGCTTACTTTGGAAGAATGGTTTAAGATGAGAAAAATGCACCAAAGATGATGTGCCTGCATAAGACATGTCATCTGTTTTATGCTGTGTTAGTTTCAAAAGAGAATTAAGTACATGGAAGCCTCCTGTTAACTATCTGGAGATAGCTGTCTGCCATTCAAATGAAAGGCATGTTTTATCTGGCCGTGACTGGCTCTGTCTAAATGATTAAATACAGAAGGCTAGTTGCCTGTTTAATGCTTATTTGGTAACTGTATTGCAGTCATTGCATTTAAAGACAAGCAGATACGAATTCACAATTTACCAGTCAAAGAAAGCACCGTTGAGATGGCTTGTACCAAAGTTGGGTGGTCATCTGTTGTGCTAGCACAGCTGTGGTGGGATTCTACAACTGAGGTAGAAAAGGCCTGGAAATTCACAGCAGCCTCAGGTTGTGTGGTGGGGGAAGAAATCCCCCTTGCCTTCCTGTTGTGTCACCTTCGAGGGTTTTGGACACTGAGTAGAGAAACTAAATCAGAGGAAAAATTGTTGATCTCTGATGGTTTGACAGAAAGGGGAGGGAAGTAACATACAGGGACCGCAGCTCAGCTATAACTGTGCGAATGCCTGGCATGTCTTAGAACTTTCATTTAATGACTAGCAGGAGGAACTTGCAAACAGATGGCCCGTTTCTTAAAATCTGAGCAACATTCTGTCCCTTGTATTTCTTTGTCCTTTTGGAGTCCGTCCTTAAGGACATCTTTGTCTCAGTAGCACTGCTTCTCAGAGTGCATGGTGGCCAATGGGCAGCGCTGGAGGGAGAGATTTTCAAAGCAGAGGCTACAAAACCTGGTCTTTAGAGCTGAATAATATTACCTTATAAGAGATCCAAGGCTTTGAGTCAGGTAGTTAAACTTTCTGAATCTGATCAAATTCTGACTTTCACTTCCTCTTTAAAGATTCCAAGATTGCTGTAGTCAGGGACAAATGAAGTGAGAGGCACTTCAAGTCTTGCATCACTTATATCCTGAGAATTTGTGTATAGATAAAACATCTTCTGTACTTTTGACTTCTTAGGTTAATGGACAGTGGAAAGGTCACAGTGCTGGAGGTTGTGGAAACTTCAGAGACAGCTACAAAAATAACCCTATCTATCAATTCCAGCTGGACAAGAGTGGGCCGTTACTAATTGAGCTGCGTGGACCAAGGTTTGTCATACATGCTTCTCTACACAGTGAGAGTATCGTGCACTAAGGATAAGTTATCAGAGTCCTCCAAGGGGTGGATGAGAAGATCCTGGAAAAGCCAGAGATAATATATGGGAAGCAGTTATATTAAGCTTTTTATTAAGCAGGTACAGCACTGTTTGTTTCTAACCTTGCCATCAATGCTAAATGCTAAACGCAGGTTCTTAAATAACAGCCTGTGCGGTAGCTTCAGCTCTGTCAGTGCATCTACTCTGTGACTGGCAGATCAGGAGGAAGAACTGGATGTCAGTGCCCTGTGAAGAGTCTTTCATAGTGAAAGCTTCTTCCCAGAGTTGCAAGTAATACTTACAGGCTCTCAACTGTTACTGTGGTAGAGTGGACCTTTATTAAATTACTGCATCTCAGCTCTGGAAGAGGGTTCAGGAGGGCCAGGTTTTGGAGGGGATATTCAAGAAAGTAGAATATAAAATAGGTCTTACTTAGAATGTGGTTCAAGTGGTATGATCCTCTCAACCCCTTTGCAATACTTGTCAGTATGCCTAATGATACCTAATAAAGGGGAAGCACTTTCTCCCTTCTGGTAGTCCTATACTAAAGTTATGGAGGTCAGATTCCTTCAGCAAAATTTATCTCCCTCAAGGTATCAGTGTACAGTGCTTCTAAATAGCAGCAGCTCCTGCCATGCAGTCATCACATGATCAGTTTTTTCACAAAGCTGCACAGTGACACCATAGAATAGTAGTATGTTTCTGTCCACCTTCTCTTTGAGGAACTCTCTCATGAAATGCACATGAGCGAGTTTCCTTGGAGGTGTGGCTCTCCCACTCCACTAATTAAGCATTTCTTTTTCTGCTTGCATTTTCTGCATCTGTAGATCATACTTGAGTAGTTTGACCGACAGGGCCAGCAGTGCCTGTCACATTTACGAAGACGTAGCAGACAAATTGTCCCAGGTTGCAGTGAAACATGAGAATTGTGCTGAGATCACCAACGTTCACGTTCCTGTGATGGTGATCAGATTGCAGCCCAAAACCTGTACGCATGTCACTGCAAGTGTAACCATGTGGGCTCTGCTTTGGTGTGGAGGCAAAAAGCTAACAGATTTTTTCAGATAGAGTTCTGAAACCAAAAGTGCATCTTCCTCCAAGTTGTACATTCATGTCATGGTAAGCTTCACTCATATTTCTGTCACCAGTGTGAGAAAACTTAAATGTATTCCAGCTATACAGTCTTCAAAAACTTACTCTCCTCCTGCTAGCCCTGATTCCCCAAATAATTGAAGTAATGGTCTGTCACTTGGTTGCAGGCAGTACAGTGTTGGGTTTGAAATTGTCACTGTGTCAACAGTAGGAGATCCTGGTTCCTATGGCTTTCAGAAAAAGAGCAGCGGGGACTACAGGTAATAAATAGTTGATTAATGAAATCTTCACTGCTTGAAACACTTCTTACCTTGGTTGTAAGAAATCGCTCTTTTATCGTAGGTGTGGATTTTGCTACCTGGAAGTGGAGAACATCCTTGCTGGAGTCTACAACATTATCCCCACCACATTCCTGCCTCAACAAGAGGGTCCTTTTTTCTTGGATTTTAATAGCACTTCTCCTCTTAGGGTATCGCAGCTTCAGTGAGGAGACAGACCCAGACATAGCTGCTTAAGGACTATTTTTGAACTGGCCTACAGGTGGATAACTTACTGCAGATATGCATAAAATAGAATTGCATCCTAAGTTATAGCCAAGAACACAGTCACCAATTTGGCAGTTGATTGTGACAGAAAATTAGCTGTGGTTTTTGCTGCTATAGTATCGGTGTAAGCACTGTTCAGCAGGCTTGTGAACAAGCTAAAGTGTTACTTCCAGACAAACTGGAAGAATGTAAGAATGTAATTTGTTGCAGTTTTTCTACAGTTCAAATCAAAATCTAGTGAGTTCAAAGAAAAACTACCACTGAAATTCTCTTCTCCTGAAGTACAGGGTCCATGGGTTGAAGATTTTATTCTGAAATGTAGAAATGTAAGAAAAATATTCTTGTGTATTCTGCTTATTCATTCTCAGGCCCAAATATGTAGTAAATGCCATTTATATTGCTGCCTTGAATGTTTACAGCATTGAAGCACTTCTCACATTTAAATTTGAGTTCACTACTGCTGAGCACATATTCCAGCCTGCCACTATCGTGTTCAGCTCATCTCAAGTATGTACATAGGAGTAAAAGATAAGGAAGACCCCAGCTTTAGCTACTTCTAAAAAAGCAAAGGATTCACCCTTATTACCTGTTATTTTGAATTACTTTAGTGCACATCATAGCACAAGGTAGATATGGCTTTCTTACTGCAAGCTGCCAGACCCTGCCTGCTGGGGATCAGCATTGAGAGGGGCAAGGTAACCAACAGCAGTGAGCAGAGCACGCCCTTCACATGACAAAGGGGGAAAGGTTTTCAGCCAGAGGTGTGCTGTGAGATTCTGTGCACCTACTGAAGCAGCCTCATTTGCTGGTGCTGCTGGAGAGTGAACTACCCACCATCAGCACAGTAGCAAGGAGATGTTTTATCCTTGTTACAAGTATGTGGCTCACAGGAGAAGGATCGTTTAAGCCTTCTCCCTTCCTGAGCTACATCTGCTAGGCGGGGGCTTGCTGCTCCTATTATAGAAGAGCTCTCTTCCAGAAGGTAGCTTTTGCTTCTAAATTGAAACTGATTTAAAACAGTGTACAGTTGGCCAGTGGCAGCAGAAACAGGGTTAAAATTCTTAAGCAAGCAGTGGAATTGGGATTACTCCAGGAAAAAAAAAAACGTAGAAGGCTACTGCCTGCATTCTTCCTTTAGCCTATCAGATATACACACATACAATATGCAAAGAGGATTAAAGGTAGCTGAATTCTCCTTCTTAAATCAAATACTGAATGATCTTAATTATGTGGGTTGTTTTTTTCCTTGAATGACAGACAGAACTGCATGTGATGGTTGTGGAAAAGGGTGCTGCTAAAGCTACCACAGGAAGCTCTTAGCCCTTCCACTTCGGCAAGTTTTGAAACAAAAAGGTGGTATCTTCAGAACACAGGTGCCACTTGTTTGTTAGGAAACTGAGCATGTGCTACAGGAGAACTAGAAATACCTGGGGGTAAAATTACTCCCTCAGAAGTGTCTTTGCCCTCCCGAGAAAGTCTGAGCTCCTTCTTACTTCATCTCTATGGTGAAGCAGCTGCTTAACAAACGTCTGGCTTTCAAAGGACAGTGAGTTCACCTGCCTTTTTGGACTGCAGTTCCTCAGAGACCATCTGAGCCTTGTGCTGACCTGTCACTTGTGACTTACCTTCTTTTGCAGCATATCAACACGGAACAGCATGGGCATAAGCTGAGCAAAAACCCATTGGGTTCTTTGTGGCTATGCTGGGCTTCTGGGTGCAGCCAGTTGTGCCAAGGACTCTTCCTCCCTACAAAATTTAAGCTTTGTTTGCTTACCCAGCTTGTTCCCTGTAAAAGCGTGCTATTTGTTTAGCTCAGGTTAAACCAGAGCTGTGCTCCTGCGACAGCTAAACTTTCAAAATTACAAAAGGCAGAGGCCAGAACTGCCAACCTTCAGACCTAAGCTGAAGACATAGGTTATGCTATTCTTTCCCTCACCACACTGCTGTGATTACACTGCAGCATTTTTTATCTCTAATGACAGAATATTAGATACTGAGTTAGGCTTGGAAAGGTTGTGCAGCAAGACTTCCAGAAAGGAGCATGGGCTGTAGGGAGGGGAACTGAAAGAGCTGCACAGCCACAGCTTACGTTGTGGGTAGGTGGGCAAGGGTACATTCCCACATCACTTTCAGCTTGACATTTATGACCCTCTTCTCTGCTTTTTAAACATGAAAATACAGAACCTCATTAAATTCACCAACAAGCATACTTCACTCTATCAATGTACATTGTGTGACAACTGAAAACTGTCCAAGCTCCAAAACAAGGCAGCCAAATACCAATGAAAGCTGGTTGTTGTGAGGATCTCTAAGAGGATTTGCACTTTCTTTGATTCACTGAGGGAAGATTACAGTAAATAGATGATTTTAAATTCTCTGTCACTGGTGCTAAGGGACAATTGGAGAACCCTCTTCAGAAGTTTTAACGTTTTCCATGCTTATACACTGAGAAGGCTTTTCAGTATTTTGGTTTGGGGTTTTTGTTTTAAATCTTACCTTAGAGCTCCATCCAAGACCCTATGTGCTGCTGTTGATACCTCAGGGTGAGCCACCCCCCTTCCAGCACAGGCATCTCTGTGATTGTTGTGTTGGGAATGCATGGTCTGATTCTGAAGGACTCATCCCATCAATTTTCCAAGGCTTTCTGCAATTCAGTACATGGATTAATGGTAACAACACTTCCTATCGCATCTGCCTCATGAGTCTGAGTTTCAGTCCTACTTTCCTGATGCAAATTTCACTGAACTGTTTTCTACAGTAATTACACAGTTGACCATGTGAGCTATGAGTTGTTGGAACAACCAGCTGCTTAGAATTAAATCTATGTACAGAACCATAGAAGTTTTCATCACTTAGTCAAACAAGAACATATTAAATCGTGTGATAATGCCAAAGAGTAAAAGAATTCCTACATTAACTTGCTTTATACATTCTTACTGCTCATAAGTACTACGATACACCAGAAGCTTATTTTTATACCCATGAGGGCAGCTACTGTCACGTTACATATCAGGATACGTAAAGATTCCAACAGAAAAGTAACTGGAAGAAGCTTGTCAATTTGCCTGTGCTCCCCCGTGATGTCTGTTCATTTAAGTCTGTCATATTTATAATTACAGCTTTTACAGAGTTTAAAATAAAATGAGTTTTCCATGAGTTTAATAGACCCGTTTGTGCCTGTTTGCTTGTACATCTGAAGTGTGGTTTACCTGCTGAGCATCGGTGTCACCAAAGAAGAGTTGCTGCAGTGAGCTCCTCGCGCTGACCTGGAGCTGCGCTGCGGCTGTGTGGGCACACGGCTTCTGCACCCTCCCACGCCTCCACAGCAACGGCTTCAAGCTGCTGGGAGCTGAATCCAACAATCCCAGCAAGCACAAGGCAGCGCACGCAACTTTCTCTGATCCTGCTGAACATAGCATTATTCGTACACAGCTGCGCAAGTCTCTGGTCACAACCAGCACTGGGAGAGGAAAGCTGATAGCAGAATGCTTAAAAAACAACAACCAGAAAAGAGCAATAGATACTGACTGACAAAAATACTCAGCCTGAAGCTCCTCTGTTGCTCTAAGGCAACAGACAGTAGCTCAATTACAAAAGCAAAAGTAAAACACTTAATATAACGTGACACGGTGGCACCACTTTCCGTATTTAATACTGACAGTGCCAGCTTTTCCCTTAGTTACGGCTGCAGCAGAAGCTGGAAGCACAGACCTCTTTTTTCCAAAGCATGCATTGGGTGGGAAAATTCTGCAAATAGTAAAGCTTGGCCTTCAGAACACATAAATGCAGGTACTCAACAGCACTGCAGGTGAACAGCTGCACTGTGTTGAAAGTAATTTGTATGGAAACAGTTTTCTTGACCTCCGGTTGCACGTGACCTTAAAGCAAATTTCAGCAGCATTAAGTACAGAGGAGTTTGTTGTATAACGTTGAGTACCTTCCTCCTTCCTTTGCATACCAAGAGACTTCAGAAGATTTAACTACATCTCCATTCTCACGTAGTGCAGAGTTAGAAGTTAATCACAGACAGGAGGAATCAGAAAGCTGGCAGGAGACTGCAGTTGTGCACGCTGCAAAGGTTTCTGAACACCAAGGTGAGAGACTCCAGGCTGTGGTCTTCAGTGAAAGTGGATATTTAAAGCCTCGCCTTGCCTCTGGTTCTCAGTACTCAAGACACGCTGAGCTCAAACAGACTCAGAATGTGGAAAACAAAAAGGTTTACTGTAGTGTGAAGAATTTTACATTAACTTTGAGAATAGATACACAAGCTGTGGCAAGGACGAAATACAACAGGACTGCAAAAACATATAATAGAAAATACTTCGGGCAATACTAAAATTCCCATGAAATTAACAATATAAACTGACATTTTAGATAAAATGGTGCTTTCAGAAATGCTTAGCCACCAAAACTGAAGAGTCCTAGGATTTCTACTACCACTTACAATGACCAGACACTACTACTGCCTAACAGCGGCCAGCAAACATGCCCGTGCCCTTTCTAGTTTTATCAAATACTTCTCTAGGGCATCCTAAACCTCAATCCCTTTTACAGTTATGAAATCCCACACAGTACAACCTACGGAGAAATTTAAGAACACATTGTCAATCTACACTGGCAGTTCCTTTTCTTCATGCATATTTTAAGGGCGATCCCCTAATTGTAACTCCTGAAAACATCTATCACTCCCATTTTTGAGCAATAACACTTTAAAGTGCTGAAAATAATACTTCACTTCTCAGGGAGGGGGAGGGCAAGGGCCAATCAACTCTTTTTGGTCACTGGAATCACCCTTAGAGTTCCAGCCAGGCTCAGGAAGGGGGCAAAAAAGGCCCGTGGCTGCTGAACGGGACCATCCCACTCCCGTCTGCCTCAGGCCGGTTCTCAGAGGCACAACTCATCTTCATCCTTTCTGTGAGCACCAAGGGAAGAGTGAAGGCTTTTAGGGCCCCACATGCAGCTTTCCTGTATACAAAATATTTCTACAGTTTCAGTATAATACAGACAAATACAGATGTTTAAAGAATATGCCGTTTATACTCAGGAGATCCAATGTATCTAAAGAGCATTTCATTCTACAAAACCAAAGCCAAACTGCACTCTGCAAATGTCTGGCTTGAATTTCAGACCCCCCCCCCACTGCCATGAATTTGCACAGGAACATTACTGGTTATTGCTTCAGCCAGGCTGCTACAAAACGATTTACAAAGTCTGTGACACGGGAGCACAGCTTACCAGCTGATAACTTGTCTGACCTACAAAGGGTTTACTGAATAAAAACTTCAGCCCTCGACATCAATTCGACTTCTTAGTGCAGTTTTAAATTCTCAGAGTAAACGCATAAGATTTGGCATATATTATTGGCACAATGTTCTTCAAACACTTAGAAGTTCAGGTATAAATATTTATATTCCTATTAAACAGGACGGGCACAGGGAGGACTCAGCCAATCTGGGCAGCCTTTCTGCCCGCACATATTCCCTCTTTGATTTTCATGCACTGAAGGGAGAGCTGCTTCATCCGGTTATCCAAAGCCAGCCCCTCGCTGGAGCCGCTCCTGTTGCTGCTCCTGTTCTTGTTCACTCTGTCACTTGCCTTGTTCTCAGCCCCTTCTGCCCTATCCCCTGCAAAGAAAAGACAAAACTCGATGTTAAACCCAGAAATCATTATGTAGCTTATGGTTCAAGTGAATGCCTCTGAAACTTCCTCTGCCAAAGCGCACAAAATACACAAGCAGGAGCAAGATGCTTTAACTAAAGCAAAGTTGGCCTTCCCAGCTGTTCTCATCTTGTGTGCTGCATCAGTATCTTACAGCATAACAGATTTAGGCTGCAGCACACAAGAACAGTGGTAATTCTCCTGTCTGAATTTGTCAGCAAGGGCTGGCAGAGATTTCTTTTGGCACTTTTTTTTTTTTCCCTGGAAAGCAGGACAGCAACTAAAAAATAAACTCAGATTTTCCTTAATTTAAGTGTAATATCAGAATCCCACCAATAGCTGAGGAACCTCAAACCCCACTGCTGCACCGAGACCAAAGCAGGCAAGCTGCACAGCCAGCAGAGCAGTGAAAGCACGTAAGATGTCATAGGTAGCTGTGGGCCCTTCACAGACTGCCTTCCCCAGGAAAGCAGCAGCAGCTCAGCGAGCCTGTGACACACCTAGGGGAGCTGAGAGGGTTTTCCTGCTCCCTTTTATAAAACTTAACAGCATTGGCCCAGGGTGTATCCAGCTGCACACACCTCTTTCAGCTTCACATTCAGGAGACGAAGCCCCGCTGCATTCACTTCGGGGGCCAAGGACGGGGAAGATGGCTCCAAACTCAGAGAGGGACACAGGGCTGGGCAGATCCAGGGTGCCAGGGCGCGTCGCAGGGGGAAATGGAGCGGGCACCTCGCTGGGGCTTGTAGGCCCAGAGCTGAAGCTGGACACTGACTGAGTTTCTGAGTCTTCCTCGGACACAAAGCTGCTGCCGTTGTCATCCTCGAACGCTTCAGAAGCCACTACAGTGTTTAAAGATACGTTCTCATTAGCAAACCTACCCCATCATCGCCTTTCCGGGCAACTGCAGTTTCTCAGTTTTGCACCTCTTGTCCATACACACACTGCTAACCCACAGGCTGTGGTTTCTCATCATCTGCCCCCCCTGCAAAACTTTACCCAGCATTTCACACAAGGATCAGCCCCGTTTCCAGAGAAAACCTCTGAGAAGCAGCACACCTGCCAGCAACACCCTGCTCCTTACGGATTTTTACCATTCTCTGCTGACCTTGTCTGCTTTGGGTCTTCTGCACATAGCTTAGGGCAGGGCCTGCTCCACTGCACCTGTCTTGGCCAGCAGCATCCTGACACCCACACAGACTTGTGAATGTTTAAGATATTAATTAGACAGCAGACAGTTTTAGGGGCAGACTGCCTCCGCATTCTCTTCCCATTAATGCGGTTACAGTCCAGCAGAACTCCCAAGACTTCTCTCTGCATGGATCACTGACATTTTACTCACACACACTGCTCTCCCTGCTCATGGTTGCTCCTGCCTGAATTCTAACTCAGCAAACCAACTCCAGATTAAGCTGTTGCCAACAGCTTTTCATTAATGGCAGTTCAATTTTGTGCTAAACACAAAGAGTAGATCTGGCTAAAAATGAACGCATTTACAGGATGGGACCTGTGTCCCAAATACCTTCTGCACTCAAGTCCCACAGGGCTCAGAAGGCTTCTTGTGGGCCAGCATCACAACAGTTCGAAGAAGCCCCCTGAACAGCAAAACATTTACAAAGATCTGAGGTCATTTGCAGTTCTGCCTCCTCACCATTCCTGCTGCTGTCAGAGTGGCTCAGAATCAACATGAAAGAGCAGCAGGGGCAAAGCAGCAGCACTAACAAAATGACTCAAAGGAAAGGCTTCAAAGTGGTTCTGCTGCCAGCCCAGCAGCCAGGGGCTCCAATGCACCACTCGGACATGAAGGGTGTGAATGGAGGCAGCTATCAGCATGGTTATTTCAGAGATGTTCAGCTTCCTTCTGCAGCATTTTCAGATCACGGGTCTGTATTCATTCAGTTAGAAAAAAAATTCAAAAGCTCAAAATTGATAACAGTTACCTAAGTTTTAAAACCCCCTCCAGGGCGCTTCATGCTCAGAGTTTGTGTTGGTTTGGATTTTGTTGGTTTGCTTTTTGAGGTCAAATCTGAGACTGCAAAGTGGGCCTTTCTTTTGACCTGCTGTGTTTTGTCAGTACATAGGAACCGAAACAGGTAACTGCAGAACGTAAAAGCAAGTAGGGCTGGGCAAAAGAGGTGATTCCCATTACAGGATTCCTCTCCTTGGCAAGCAGCACTGACAGCAGTGAAGCTACAGCCAGCATAGCTTTAACTACAGCTTATTTATTGCCATCTGGGCTTCCATACCACAGCAGCATCATGTCTGGGCACATAACACTCCAGGCTGACTGTGTTTTATCAAACTCCAAAGACTGAAAAGGGCCTCGGTGCAAGCTCCCCACATTGCAACACTTTTCCCTCCCTCCCTCCCCCCCCCCCCCCCCCACCATATAGCACTATACAAAGAACAGGAGGTAACAGCTGATGCATTTTAACCCATATCCCCTCCCCTTGAGGATATATTGATGGATATAATAAACTCCTGCAATCACCAGAAACATAACA